TTGAGCGCATCAATGAAAGCATAGTGTTTACTTCTTTTTTGGTTGGGAAGAAAGCGAGCTAGTTATGGATTATTATATTTGGATACTCTATTGTATGTGCGACTTATACATAAAAACACCTTACGATATTGATCGTATTCAGTGGGATAATTTTATCAAATACTAACGGCAATTTTTTTTGCACCCCACTGTATATATAAAAAAATCTTCAATAGAAAAACAAAACATTTTTTTTTATTTTGTTTCTTTTTTTTTAGTAAGAAAACTTACCGAACCCAATGACGTTTACTTATGGGTGTATGACAACAAATACTATCATACTGATCTGATATCCATACAACAAGAATAATAATAGATTAATTAAAAATTAATATTGAAATCTAATAACCTGTTGATGCATCATTGAAAAATTCCGACATAATTGCTTCCATTCCTAATAAATAAAAATCAATCTATTTATTAGAAATCAACTTTTTTTTTTACCAATCAATGCTAAAATAATTGTTAATAATGGTGCAGCTAGAAATACAATTGATGTATTATGTTCAATGATACGTAATAGATCAACTACAAAAGAAAAAAACAATAAATCGTATTTTATTGAAAAAAAGAAAACAAATTTTAATATTTTTTTTGTTGTTGTATCGTTAACTAACTAATAAAAAGAAATATTTGAAAATATGAATATCGAAGAAGCATTGAAATATTAATTGTGTTAAAATATATAAATAAAATGAAATTCATTTTCAAAAGTGTTTCATTTCTTTCTCTAAAACTATTTTGAGTCGATTAATCTGAGGAATAGTGCTTCCAGTAAGTATCTTACAAGCACTACTTAGAATTAAATTTTCAAGTCAAACAATTGATATTAAGATTAATTTTAATTTAACTCATTACTCTTTCCTCATTATTATAAATCGAATTGTTCATAAATAATGACTTATAAGTTCAAACGTTCGATACACAAAATTTTTACATTTTAAGTTAAAAGTCATTGTGAACTATTACGATGAATTAGTGGTAGAAATTGTATAGATTTATACATAAACAAATTAAACTTACAAATACAATCATGATACATAAAGCAACTAAATATGTTCACCATTGACAACTTTGCCATGCACTGACAAAACAAAAATGATCATTTGTCATTATATTTCGAGCATAACCTTTTAAGACAAAAGAAAAAAAAAATCTTCGTCTTTTCCTTTTCAATTATATTATTAAATATACCTCTATTTGTTTCTTTTTCTGTTAATTGTTTTATATTAGACATAAGTATTTCTTGATAACCAAGAAATTGATCAAGTAGAAATCGACTTAATAACATCTTTCGGCTATATCTTGACTCAAAAATATTTCCCTGGCAATTATGCATATCTTGAAATTATGTCGTATTATATAGGAATTAATGTTTTTATGATGGCTTTCTCTATGTTTATTATTATACAAAAAAATTAAGATCGTTTCTTCTGCCAGATTATCCCGCTTGGCTTCACTAACATTCGGTATCTATTTGTGCCACTTCATCTTTGTAAAAATGGCTTATGACTTTTTTGACATCATATACCCACTTCCTGCTCTAATACACATTATTTGTATGCCATTTTCTGCTTTCTCTATCAGCTATCTGATAGTTCAAATAATGGAACATTTCAACTTAACACGTCATTTCGTTATGGAAAAGTAACGATTATCCATTTCAAAATATAAGAGCCGTGACCTTTCTTTTTGTTTCAATAGCTTTTGATAAGAACAATATATCGACTTGTGGTTTTCACTATTCGAAAGGGCAGTTTTGGGTTCATCGATCCATACAATATTCATTAAGATGAAGGATGCTTTTTCATAGAAGACTTTCGATTGACATGTTTTGCTTGGAGACATGGAATTTTACAATAGTTCATGTTCAAATTATGCCAAAATGTAGTTCAATTCAGACGTTTTTTGCTATGGAATTATCTTCAGTTTTTGAAAGCTCACTTGAGAAAAGAGATAAATAGATGGGATAACGGATAATGTGGTAATTTTATAGCGGGTTAGGGTCTATGTGAACTACATTTTGGTCTAATTTCAACACGGACTATTGTAAAATTACATGAAAATACACAAAGCAAAAAGAACGTCAATCGACAGTCTCCTATGAAAAAAAATCATCTTTCGTTCTAATGAATAACCTGTGTCAAGAAAGTCTTGGTACAAAATATTCGCTTATTTTCCCGTCACTTAAAAGCAATTGGTAAGACTCAGAATTTTGTGCCCTTTTCGAATATGGGCTCAGAAATGTTGTATCTATTTTTGCTCGTAAGTAGTAACAGAATCTTTAAAAGACCCTAAAATAGTAGTTTGTACAGAAAATCTTTCGTATATTTTCATTCTTGGGATCCTAAACTAATCGCTGGAACTCAACTTAATTTATCAAGTTGTAGAGCAAAATTTACCCTACAAAACGTACTATTTGACTGTCTGTTTGACTTCCCATAAGGCATTTAAAAGTTCATTTTTCCATCACCCTCATTTTGGAAAAATCGATTTTTTGACAAAAGTGCTTTGTACATATTATCAAGAACAGCAGCCACGACCATCTGATGACACCCTTCAGCAAGATCGAAACCGGTCGTGGCTGCTGTTCTAGATCATTTCGAACACGTACTATGTCCAAAGCCGTCTGAAGAGTTCTTTAGCAAGGACGAAATCATGATAACGATTGCTAAATTCATCCTCACTCTTACACATGAAATTAAAAGCTATGCATTTATTTCTATTTACAAGTACACTACTCAAGATAGAATTTATTTACGGCTTGACCGGTTACTGAAAAGCAAAAGTTGAGATTAGCAGATTGCTTTCTATTTTATCTATATAGGTCAGTCTGTTTTCGATTGATTTACACCCTCATTTATTTTTCGACAAACATCAATTGTTGAAAAGCAAATGTTGGGGTTGGCAGATTGATTTATCTTTTATTTAGAAAATAGGTCGATCTGTTTTCAATTGATACACCCATCATTCTCGGAATAAATAAAGACGAAAGATAATTAAGAATAGGAGAGAAGGAAGCTAACTAGCACATAATGTTCGATTTTCTGTATGGACTTGTGTTTGTGTCGATTTTCTACAAAGGAAAAAAAATAGTGAATTAATTCAGTGCCATAAAATACTTGAAACGATAATATTAAAAAAGTATGTACGAATAATGGAGTAAGACATCAGCAACATTCTATTGACCAAGCTCCCAAAAAAGAGCTGGTCAAGAAACCCAGCTCATAAAAAAAATAGCCGATCAGCAACACTTTGAGCTTGGAGCTGTCGTAGACCTAGTTGTAGAATTCTATAGAATCTGAGTTGTTTCGATGCTGAGATCGCAGTAATTCCTATAGTTTCCGATAATGGGATCCGACCAGAACCAGTCGAACCCGGTGTGGAATCCGGCTGCAAAG